AGAACTGCGCATGAACGAGGATGAGACAGTCATCGACTTTCCTACACGCGTACAGGAACTGGCGAATCGCGCAATGGTCCTTGGTGAACCATTCTCGCAAGAAAAACTTGTTAAGAAGATACTGAGATCTTTACCGCCCAGGTTTCGAATGAAAGTCACAGCCATCCAAGAGCATGATGGCTGGGAGAAAAAATCTGTTACTCAGCTAATGGGAAATCTTAAAACATATGAAATGGAGATTTTAACTGATCATACGAAAAAACAAAAAAATATTGCTTTTGCCGCTGAAGAAAATAATGTTGTATCCGATACAGATGAAATTAGTGATGATACAGTTGCGTTCTTAACTAAACAGTTTTCTAAAATTTTGAAACAGGTATCCAAAAACACTCGCAACAGAAATTCACAAAAGGGAGCAACGTCGTTCAAAACTGCACCTAGGACAGGGGCGTCAAACGCCAAGCAGTCTGTCTCACGTCCAGGACAGTCCAAAGAAAGATCCAACAACAAAGGCATAAGTGTTATGAATGCGAGGGATTTGGGCATGTACAAGCTGAATGCGCCACCTATCTTCGACGCAAAAATTCTATGTCAGCCATTACCTGGAGCGATGACGAGCCCGACGTTGAACCAACTGGGTCAGATGTCGAAGAAATTTCGGGTAATTTTGTTGCATTCACAGCACGATTTACTGACAGTTCAGAACCTGTTGAAGACTCAGAAGGTGGTGACTACGTCTCTGCAGAAGATGTGGAACAAAATACTTTATCTTTTGAAGCTGAATTTAATAAGTTGTATCCCAAATGGGAAGCATTAAGAAAAATGAACTGCAAACTAGCTAGTGAAATAGAGATTGTAACGAATGCAAATAAAGTATATCAAAATCAAGTAGCTGATAGGAATGTTTTGCTTAAAGAAGCAGCAGGTAGAGAAGAAAGACTACAACACGAAGTACAAACCGGAAAGGTACTTCTTAAGGAAGCAGCTGACCGAGAAGAAAAACTCCAACAAGAAGTTCAGAATTTGAAACAGGAGCTCAGCACCTACAAACGACAAATCCAAATGATGGATACCACTTCAACCCTCGATAAGATTCTTGATTCCGGCAGGAAAACTTCTGCAAAATTTGGCTTGGCTTCACTGGCAGTAACTCCAAAGATAAGACTTTATTTGTCAAAGCATCTGGACCTGATCCAGACGACATCCCTGAATGCAGCACTGTGAAACGCTCCTATGGTAAAGTAAGCTTAAATAAGATGAGTTATAAGCTATATAATCCCGTTTGTCACTATTGCAGGTTACGCGGACATACCAGACCTGAATGCTACTACTTCTACAAGGATCAAAGGATTGAGAAATTCAGGCACAAGAACATTCAACCGTTCACAAAACAGATTTGGGTCAAAAAGGCTAATTATATATCTTTTGTTTCATTTCATACTAAAAGTGGAGGACGAGAAGAGAAATGGTATTTTGACAGCGGTTGTTCCCGTCACATGACAGGGAATGTAAAACTCCTGAACAACGTCAATACCAGTAACGGTGAAGTTACCTTTGGTGACGGTGTCAAAGGTCAAGTGACTGGCGTAGGCACTTTAAATGTAGCTGGTTTGCCAAAACTAGACAAAGTGTTACTTGTCCGTGGACTTCATACTAATCTTATTAGCATTAGTCAATTGTGCGACCAAAACTGGAACGTGTGTTTTACTAAAAATAGCTGCAGTGTGATGGACAACAAAAATCAATGTGTCATGGAAGGTAAACGATCAACTGATAATTGTTATATTCTAACAAATAATGTGCTATGTTGCAGGTCCAGCATAAATGAAGCTGAGTTATGGCATCAAAAAATGGGTCATCTTAGTTATAGACTTCTCGATAAACTTGTAAAAATAGAAGGTGTTCGTGGGCTACCTAAGATGAAAGTAGAGTCAACTATCTGTGGTGCCTGCCAAGCTGGGAAACAAATCAGATCAGCTCACCCAGCTCAACACACCATAAACACAAGCCGGTGCCTGGAATTGATACACATGGATCTCGTTGGACCAACTCAGACAGAAAGTTTTGGAGGTAAGAAATATATACTAGTATGCGTTGATGATTTTTCTCGCTTTTCTTGGGTTATGTTTCTCAGGGAAAAATCTGAGGCCCTTGAGGCATTCAAAACACTGGGATTAAAACTTCAAAAAGAAAGAAACGAATCCATCAGTAGAATCCGGAGCGATCACGGCAGAGAATTCGAAAACAAACTGTTCGACGATTTTTGTAATCAATCAGGGATTGCACATGAGTATTCAGCCCCGAAAACTCCACAACAAAACGGAGTTGTGGAAAGGAAAAATCGTACCATCCAGGAGATGGGTAGAGTATTGCTCAACGCCAAAGGATTACCACAAAAATTCTGGGCGGAGGCTGTAAACACTGCATGTCACATCATCAACAGAGTTTACCTACGTCCGGGTACAACACAAACTCCGTACGAGCTTTGGAAAGGTAAGAAACCGAACATTACTTATTTTCATATTTTCGGCTCACGTTGTTTTATTTTGAAAGATAGGAATCCTACGTCTAAATTCGAACCAAAAAGCGACGAAGGAATTTTTCTCGGATATTCCACCAACAGCAGAGCCTATCGAGTATATTCTAAAGTGACCAAAACCATCATGGAGTCCACAAATGTCGTCATTGATGATCAACCTAGTGAAATTACTGAAGCTATCCAGTCTGATCCAGTGACAGAACCTGAAACTGACCGACCTAAAACTCCTGACGCTGGTATTCCAGAACCAGACCATGAGACACCTACCTCATCGCCCATCTGCAATCAACCCGAATCTGAACCTGAGACTGAATCAGAAAATGATCATGATGATATTGATATTCCAACTCGTATCCAGAAAAATCATCCGATCCAAAATGTAATTGGAGATCCCAGTTCAGGTGTGAAAACTAGAGGTAAACCAAAGCGCGACTATCTTGAACTAGCTGGATACTCTTGTTATACATCGCAGATTGAACCAAAGAATATCAAAGAAGCCTTAACCGACGAACACTGGATCAAGGCCATGCAAGAAGAATTGGGGCAATTCGAAAGGAACAAGGTATGGACTCTAATTCCTAAACTGAATAACGTAAATGTTGTAGGTACAAAGTGGATTTTTCGAAACAAGACTGACGCAACCGGCAATATCGCTCGAAATAAAGCAAGACTAGTCGCTCAAGGATATTCCCAAATTGAGGGAATCGACTACGACGAAACGTTTGCTCCAGTGGCTCGCCTGGAATCCATCCGATTGCTACTCTCCATTGCCTGTGCTTTAAAGATCAAGCTCTTTTAGATGGATGTTAAAACAGCCTTTCTAAATGGCTATCTCACAGAGGATATATATGTTGCACAACCGAAAGGGTTTGAAGACCCGGCAACATCCAGAATATGTATACAAGCTTCAAAAAGCTCTATATGGGCTAAAACAAGCTCCAAGAGCCTGGTACGAAAGACTTGCCCAATATTTACTTCAGAATAATTACAAACGAGGAGGTTCGGACAAAACCTTGTTCATAAAACGATCAGGTAAACACATAACCATTGCACAAGTTTACGTTGATGATATTGTGTTTGGGTCCACACAGACAGGTGAAACGGACAAACTGATCAAAGTTATGCAACAAGAGTTCGAAATGAGTATGATCGGAGAGCTAACTTATTTTCTAGGATTACAGGTCAATCAGTCAAAAGAAGGGATCTTTATTTCTCAAGCGAAATATGCGAAAAATCTCATATCAAAATTCGGTCTTGAATCTGCGAAAGATGCCAGGACACCCGTCTCAACAACTACAAAATTATCTAAAGACAATCAAGGAACTTCTGTTGACTCCACATTGTACATGAGTATGATTGGTAGTCTACTGTACCTAACGGCTAGTAGACCTGACATCATGGTAAGTGTTGGTATGTGTGCACGCTATCAAGTAGATCCAAAGGAATCGCACTTGAAGGCAGTCAAACGTATTATAAAATACGTTAAAGGTACAATTAATTATGGTATTTGGTATTCCACTGACACTAATCTTAGTCTTACAGGTTTTAGTGATGCTGACTGGGCTGGTAACACCGATGATAGAAAAAGCACGTCCGGAGGATGTTTCTTTATTGGGAAAAATCTGGTTGCCTGGCTGAGTAAAAAACAAAATTCAATATCGCTTAGCACTGCAGAAGCTGAGTACATAGCTGCAGGCAGTTGTTGTACACAACTGCTTTGGATGCGTCAAATGCTGTCCGATTACGGGTTTGATCAGAAAAATATGGTCCTCTTCTGCAATAACACGAGTGCGATCAATATATCTAAAAATCCGGTCCAACACTCCCGGACGAAGCATATAGACATCCGTCATCATTTCATCCGTGAACTAGTTGAAGAAAAAGAAATTAAGTTAGAATACATTCCTACTGACAAAAATCTTGCAGATTTATTTACGAAACCATTAGACAAATCCAGGTTTGAACTACTTCGTGCAGCTCTTGGAGTTTGTACGATTAATGTCTAAATTCTCCAGCAGGTATTTTTTAATTAATTTTTTAATTTTTTATTTTTGAACTAACTGATTAATTGTTTTTACGTGCGTGTTTCGGTTACCAGGGACAGAGGAAAATGAATTTGTTTGGGATTAATTTAATATTTCCGATCTTCGTTATATATTTATGAATTACTAATTTTTCCTTGAGGTGTTTTATTCTTCATTTTTTTCGGAAGTCTCATGCTTGCATCTAGAAGACTAATTCTTGTCAAACACCAACAAACTCTCCTTTTTCCACTCATCTACAAACCTATGTACATCATTATATCTATCCTAGCCATCAACTCTCTCACGCCTTTTCAAGTTAGACATCAAATCAACCCATTACTTTTTGTCTCTCTTGGTCTTCCTCTCTAACCCGAGAACACCACCATCATCTTCATCTCTTCACCTTCCACCATTGTTGCTCACTACAAGCTACACCCATGGAAAACCCTTTTCTCACCTACGTAACTCGATCCGAAAGAGCCAACCTATTTCGAAAAATCATTGATGCCGAGTCTCCCTTAACTCCTGAAGCTACCGATAAGGTTCTTGCAACAATTAAATCAGATGGGTTTCTACTGGAAGGGCTCACGGACAAAGAACAGAGGCAAATGCTTGCGCTTGCTCGCCATATCTCCGCCACACCTTGGCCGTTTCCACCGGTGTCAGCCGTTGTCCCAGATTCCACTCTTCCCGGTCCAGCGTCTCTTGCCTCATCTCAGACAGTGGTACTCCCTGCCCACTCTTCACCTTTAAACACATCTAGAAAAATTGATTTTGATGTATCTTTGCCTGATCAATTTGTGTCTCCCTTATCTCATGATGTTTTTGATGTTCAAACACTGCCTGTACCTGGTGATCCTTATGATCCTTTGACTCATAAGTTACCTAGGGAAAATGTTGATTTAGTTGCTTTATCTGACTTAGTAAATTCCTTGCCATCTGCGTTTTCCATTCGAAATGTTGCCCAACATGTGTCTGTTCCAACCGTGTCTTGTTCGGCCTTTTCTATCCCCATTACTATTGCTGCGTCTAAAAGTCACTCTGATCCTATACCCATTCCTGTTTCATCTACTCAAGAATCGGTTCCCATTATCTCTGTTCCTATTGCTAAATCTTCCCGAAAGGGAAAGGAGAAAATCCCTGTTTCAGGTACTGCAGAAAAGAGAGGATTGTCACAGTTGGATGATGTTGAAACTCAAACTGACCGTAAACTTCAACGGAGGAGTTCCACATTGCCACCCAGAACCACTCGGTCAAGAGCCCAAGTTGATACACATGTTGTTCCTACGCCATCTGGCTCCAAATCGGAAGCATCAAGCAAGGTCAACCGCATCTTCTGTCTCCCGATTTATTTGCTGTTTGGAAAACTCATGTCAATCGTGATTTCATCGTCGAAAAATCCATCAATGAAGAGGATTTGGCTGCCAAGTGCAATATTATCCCGTTGTTACGTGATCAAAATTTGCTCGCCTCTCTACGCCATATTGGTCCCTACTCTACATGGTTGACAGCAGAATTTTACACAAATTTGACCTTGGACACATTCACTGAAGGCTCAGCACGATTTCATCAAGTTTTTATTCGTGGAACTTGGTATCCTTTCGGGCCTACTGAGATTAATGCATATTTGGGCACACCAAATCATCCTGCTTCTCCGGATCCTAATCCTCACTTGTTGGCAACTGCACTCACTCATAATAAAGTGGTTTCATGGCCGAGTGATGGAATTTCAAGCTTGAAGCTCACAACTGTCTACTCCGTGCTTCTTCGCCTTGCATCGGCGAATTGGGTCCCGGCAGTCCGTCGCCATCAAGTACCAGAACATCTAGCTGGCCTTCTATACAAAATCAGGAACTGTCTTCCGTTCAACCTCGGCATGGTTATTTTCTCTCACTTAATGTCTTTTTTGCAGAAGAAAGAAGCCAAAGTCCATCTCCCTTTTCCGTGTTTGATTTATGGGGTGCTTCAAGACCATGGTTTTAATCCCTATAAGGAAGAAGTGATTACAACTCCTGACAATGCTTACATTTTTTATGATCGACTTACACAACGGGGTCATTATGATGATCGAGCTTCACTTGATCAGCTTCCTGCTATTCCACCTCCAGCGCCATTGGTTTCTGCGCCAGCCTCATCTACTGACACTGCGTCAGCTTCTCGTCCAGGCTCAAGACTGGTTCCCAAAGAGCCCCCAACATTGGTTGATCGAAGGCAGATTGTGCTCACTCTTGAGGCCTCTATTGCACAAGTTCAACAATCAGTCACCTCTCAACAAGCAACAATCTCTAGCCTTGCAAAGCTTCGTGATGCACAGCTCGAAGAAATCGCTCGCATGGAAGCTATTCACGCTCGGGTTTTAGCTGACACTGGAGCTGCTTCCTCGGATTCTGACTCTGATGATGAAGAGGATGATTCAGACTCGGGCACCCCGTCTGCACGGTAAATCTAATCCACAATTTGATGTTCACCTTCCTTTGTCATTTATTTGGCAAAAGGGGGAGTAAGGAGTAAGGGGGAGTATTCTACTTTTTGGATGACTACTGCTTTTTTGGATGACTATGGTACGGTTGTTTGGTATTGGCTATTTTTGGAAGTGTTTATGCTAGTCAGTATTGTAATAATGGACTTATATTAGTTAGGGGGAGTAATAGTATTGGCTGGTGCTCCTAACTAACTGTATGGATATTTTTGGTATGGTTTCTCACATGCACAAGTTAATCGTTGATTTGGTATGCTATGATTTAAATGTTTCTGTGTGTGGTTCAAGAATTGAAGATTTCAAATTAGGTTCTCTACTCACAAGTGGTCCAAAAGAATTTAATTTGTTTATGTTTGAGTTTAAATTTCTATGTCATGTTAAGTACCTATACTAAGGGCCATAAATAAAATTTAAATTGATTCTTGCCCAAAGTATTTGATACTCAAGTTTTCCAAATAAAATGCCAAAGGGGGAGATTGTAAGTGTAAAATAAATTTACACTATTGGCTATTTTATTGGTCTTACTAGTTTTAAAATAAATTAGTGTAGCTTGTTTTAATTCTTATGGATCATGAGAGTATGAAATTAGTGGTCTGCATGCATTGTATCCTTAAATCTACGAAGAAGCTTTCAAAGGACAAAAATGAGTGGTTGAGGCTTATTCGAACAAGTGGAAAGCAAAGAAGAAGGCTACGGATGAGAACCTAAACAAAAGGTTCAAGAAACACTATAAAAGCACACTGTTCGAATGAAGCAATTGCCAATTTTGATCATTACACATTGCGAGAGCTATTCTGAATTTACAAGCAATTTATGTTTTAATGTGATTTCTGATTTAATTATTAAGAGTATTTAAATTGTACTGCATGATCAGTACGTGGTACTGCTGAAGCAACTTGTAAAGATTGTTCGGGTATTCGTGTGTCAGTCCTGGATAGGTGTTAGAAAGAGTGGTAGTGGTAAATGCTGGAGGCCGTCTTCATTTACCTCTTGTAATACTCCTTTTGGTGAACATCTATAGTGGATTGGGAAGACGTGGGTTGCCCCGCAGACGTAGGAGAAGGAGCTCCGAACTGCGTAACAATTTCCTTGTGTTTTTAATTTTCTTTATGCTTTCTGCAGTTATTATTTATACTTGCTTAAAAGAGGTTAAATTAATTAACTAAATTGGTGCATAACTCAATTTACATATAAAAACACATAACGTTTATTTTTCAAGTGTCACGATACTATTTCATAAACAATTGAAAAACAAACAAAAAAAATAAAAATAAAAAATGGCTGCTATATATATATATATATATATATATATATATATATATATATATATATATATATATATATATATATATATATATATATAAATAATCAAGCCGGCCATCAAGCCATTAAAATACTACGTATTTCTCTATAAATCATTTTGCCAATGTCAACATTATAACAAGCTAAATTTTAACGTAATAATATAATAACGTTGGCCATCCATCCATTCACGATCTCTATCAACAAATTTTTGCAGTATTTTAAAGACGCCGGCGAGGAGACATGGCGGTCGTAGACGGCGACGAGTGGTCCCTAGCGTCAGAAGCTACGCCGTCGTACCGGTACCAGTGGGACGTGTTCCTCAGCTTCAGAGGCGAGGACACGCGCCACGGCTTCACCGACCGCCTCTACAACGAGCTCGTGCGGAACGGCGTCCGGACCTTCCGCGACGACGAGGAGCTGCCGCGCGGCGAGGAGATCGCGCCGGGCCTAATCGCCGCCATCCAAGACTCGGCGGCTTCGATCGCCGTCATATCGGAGAACTACGCCTCCTCGAAATGGTGCCTGGAAGAGCTCGCAACGATTTTGGAATGCAAGCGGCTCATGCTTCCGGTGTTCTACGAAGTCGATCCCTCCGATGTGCGGAGACAGGGCGGCGCGTTTGAGCGGGATTTCCGGAACCACCAGATGACGGTGGACGCCGGTAGGATTCTCCGGTGGAGGGAAGCCATGACGAAAGCCGGTAATAAATCCGGTTGGGATTCCAGTGTCTGGTATTTACCTTTTTAACCTTTGAAAATCTCCTTTTGTTTATTGGGTAAGGGATCAGATATGCCTTCAACTTTAACCAATAAATCAATTAAACCCTCCAACTTTCAAAAGTTGCAATTAAACTCATAAACATATTATTCTGTATTTTGAAGCATTTAAGCTCAGAAACGTGTTCCTCAGCATATGATTTCGACAACTTTTCCTACACTTTTCAACAACAATAATCACCGGCGACAATAATTTGTTGGAGAAGGCGACCAGTTTGGTCGCCTGTGGTTGGAGAAGGCGACTAGTTAGTCACCTTCTCCAGCCGCCGAAAAAGGTGATCAACTGGTCTGCCTTCCCCTTCGTCGGAGAAATTAGTTGCCGATTATTATTATCGAAAGTGTAAGAAAGGTCATCAGAACCCTAGATAATCTGTAATTACATGTTACCAATCGGTTTCTGGGTTTAAATGCTTCAAAATACTATGTTTATGGATTTAATTATAACTTTTGAAAGTTTAATGACCTATTTGACTTTTAATAGAGCATTTGGTTGGAGGGAATTTAAATTTCATTCTCACTTAATTCCCACCTAATTTCAAAGGCCATTAAATTCCTTAGTTTGGTTGGAAGGAATTGCAATTCCCTTATTTTCATAGAATTAAAATCCCATGCCCCCCTTTGGAATTTTAATTCCATGGATTTTAAGAAGTAAAAAAGATAATAATGAGACAAAATTATCTCTCCCCTTTTTTAACTTAAAATTGATGACGGACAACAACAATGGGCATTTTTTACTTTATATTAATTACTTATTCCATTTTAATTCTCATGGATACCAAACATTAGAATTGAAATTCCCAATAATTTTATTCTTGTAAATCAAACACTGGAATTTAAATTCTACTTTATTCTTGATAATTTATCTCCCATGAAATTGTAATTCTTTCATTCCAACCAAATGTCTCATTAAAGTAAAGTTCATGGCCTATTTAACTATTTTGCCTTGTTTATTTGTTGGTTTATTTATTTTTCTAATTTTAATGTTAGTTGGTGGAAAATTGAGGTTTGGGTAAATATAATATTTAAGCATGTCCAAGAAGGCAAGAAAGCCTACAGCCGTCTATAGGCAGCTCCGTTGACCTCTTCTTAGTATGTTGTCCGTATTTTATTAACGTTCTAACTAGTCATTTATAACAAAATATTTTATAATCAGTGTAATTGGTGTAGGTGGTTTGTGCATTTTTATTTGTAAAGTGAAAATTAATATGACCAGTATTTTGTCTTTTATTTATTTTATTATTCTTAAAGTATTTTATTTTTTAAATATGAATTTTATAATTTAATTTTAATTATTGTTTTTGTTGTGTTGAAATTAGTCACAACTCAATTACTTAAAGAGAAACTTGTGTACTAACGATATGGTGTAAATGAAGACAGATATTAAATAGTTTTTAGATTTTATGTTTTTAGTTTTTTTTTTTTTTTTTTTTTTTGAAAGGATGTTTTTAGTTAGTATAGAGATATAAATTAAGGATAACATATAAATACCTACTATCTACTAATACAAATATAATAAGAGTCAATGTTGACAAGATTATAACAAGAATAACTTGTATATTTTATTTTATTCCTTGTATACAATAATATATAGTGAAAGCTATTACTTTTTGAATTTTTATCCTAAAAGAATATAATTAATGTTATACTATAATTATTCTAAGAATACATTATTATTTTCTCTTTACTTAAATCTTACTTAAATCAAACATGTTGCAGCACAAATTTTAATGTTCTATTCCAAATTTATATTTATTTTAATTAAAATGTACATTTTATTACAACCTGATCTACTATGTATGAAACAAAGGCTATGTTTGGCAAACTTAGCTGAAAAGGTAGCTGAAAGCCGAAAAACTATAAGCTAGAAGTTGAAAACTGAAGAGCTGTTAACTAGTTGATTATGCTTAAAAGTGTTTGCTAAAATTAGCTTTTTGATAAGCTGATAAATGCAAAAAGGCTAAAAAGGACATTTTCATAAAATTTAAATGATGTGATTATTATATTATTTTTATATTATTAAATATATGAGATATATTTAATTTATAAATTTTTTTATATAATATATATGAGATATATATTAAATTAAAACAAAAGAAAAAAAAATTAATTGGTAAGGGTAAATGATGTCATTTATTTATGAATTGGTGCCTGGGTGGTGAAGATTTGCGGGAGAAGATGAATAAAAATATAGAAGAAGAAAAAAAGGCCAAAAGGATTTTTAATTGAGAAGGGTAAAGATGTTATTTATTTAAAATAATAAGGATAAAGATGAAAAAAAAAAAAGTTAGGAAGCTCCTAGTTATTTTTGAAATGCTACCTAAGGTAGCTTTTCAAAATAAGCTCTTAAGCTACTAGCTTATTTTGAGAGTATTACCAAACAAATTAATAGTTTAAAATAAGTTACTCTTAAATAAACTCTGCCAAACAGAGCCAACATTTCTCTCTATTTTAAAAACTTAAAAGCAACAATTTCATTATCTAATCAATCTTATAGGTACAAAAATAATATTTCAAATATCAATGAGAGTTTACAAGATGAATAGTTCACATATAGCAACAATTGAGTTCTCAATTATATACACAAAGAAAACTTATGAATTCATATGTTATACTGTAACTTAATTGCACAATTTTTTAATTACTATTTCACAACATCAGTAAACATATTATAATCATGTCACTTTTAACAAAAAATAAGTTAAGTATTACTGACTCATCAATATCACATTAAGAATACTTAATTTATTTTAATATGAAAATTGTTAGGACATTATTTTTATTCTCGAGTATAACTATCTATAGCAATACTCATCCGTACTACTACTTTTATTACAAGTTAAAAATACTCATTTTGATTATATTGAAACTAATTATTTTTATTTTATATGAGTTATTAATATTTAAAATTGTGCTAAGTATTTACTTATTGTATCATTAATTTATGTTCATTTTTTTTTCATACGTTATGCTATAAGAGTTGTATTATATAATTTTTTAGACAAAAATATTCATACCATTATAACTTTCTTATATTCTTCAATGGAAATAATATATGTAGACATTATATATTGGAGTAAAATAAGAAATAAGTTTGATTTCATTTAAGACTTTAATTAGTAAGTATTAGTTAGTTATTTCCAAAAATTACAGTATTAGTTTTATAAAAATGATATACATTATTATTGTTGTTGTTGTTGTTGTTGTTGCTGTTGCCTATTTTTTTTTTTTTTTTTTTTTTGTTTTTTTTTTTTTACTTATAAGAGTGAACCGATGTTTTTTTTTTTTGTTGTTACTACGATCTAACCTAACCATAGTATCTACTCAAACAGTGAATCAATGTTATTACCCATGATTTATATACGTATTTTTATGTTAATTGAGTTGTACATTAAGCTATAAATATTGTACTATCATTTCTATCAGAGAAAATTATCTTACATCTTTAAACTTTGGTTAGTATATATATTAAATGTTATCATAATTATATTTATTAATTTATCGTATCTAAATTTTTAATTTATTAATATTAATCATACCATAATTAATACTCAAATTATCAACTATACTTTTAAAATAATATAAATTCTACAACTATAAATTAAAATAAATTATATAATATTATAATATACTATAACTATGAATATTAATATTGAACATCTATTTTTTGCGTATTGCTCATATAGAATACTAGTAAAATCTAACAAGAGCCAATCTAAAAGGAAAATTGTGTTGGTAGTATAAATTGTATCAAGCGTTTGTAAATGAAGGTAAATATTAAATAGGTTTTACATTTTATATTTTTAATTATTATAGAGATATAAATTAAAGATTATATCTAATATATAAATATCTCTAACTCTAATCTATAATATAATAATAAGATTTAATAAGAGCTAATAATTTTAATACTTAGTTGGAAAGAAAGTTATGTTGGTAGTATAAGTTGCATTAAGTGTTTGTTCTTTGTGTTATTTGTGTTGTTCTTTTACACTTCTTTTTTAAAATTTTACCCTTCATATTTTTCACCAAAGACAAAGGACCTCCAGTGTAATTAACTCTTGTTAATTTAGTCCATACTTTTCAAATTGAACGAATTTAATTTGGTCTTTGAATTGTTTTAAATTTCGTCAATTAAATCCTTTTGATACTATTCCGTCACTCAACCATTAAGACGTAACCGAAAAGTGTCAGAAGCACCTCTTGCCCGTGTGACAAAAAAGTAACCATAATGGAGAAGTGTCAGAAGCACCCCTCGTCATATGACTAAGAAGTAAACATACCTTTCGATCACATGCGAGAGTCCATTTTTCGACTTGGTCGAGAAGTAAGTTCAATTGTCCTTATTTGAGTACACACTTCTCGAGCGTAATTGAGAAATACCATAAATACCTCTTACTATATGGCCGAGAAGTAAATTTACTTTTTGGGGACTCAAATAAGGATAATTGAAGGATCAAAATAGTAATTCTACTATATATACTCCCAAATTCTACTCTCTTACTTGTACTCTATGACATGGCAAACAAAAATTGACTATTTTCATCATGTGAATCCCATAAAATGTGTCTACATCAAGAATTTATGAGAGGGAGTGCAAGTTGGGAGTAAGAAATGAGAGTATCAGGAGTCTCCGATGGATGACAAGTGGAGTCCATCCGTTCACTCCAAAATCTGTTAGAAGCAGTCTGTTAGAAGCAGTTCCTTTTCCCTCTTTTTCTTAGCTTTGTATGACTGTGCATATAAAAACTCTTGTACTAAGTCTTCTTGCCAAGTAATGAGAATAATCCTTTTGTCTCCATTTCAGTCGATACTCCCTTCTTCTCTGAATCATCACATGGTATCAGAGCTTCGAATGAAGTAATCTACGAAGCACTTTCTCACAATGGAAGCGTGGCCTCCCGTCGGCAATCGATCGGCTCCGGTCAGTAATCCGGCAACTGCTGCGGCAAACGCTGCCAATCCCAATCCCGCTCAGGAAGTTCCCGCTGCTATTGGAGAGGTGAATTTCAACCCCGATCTTCAATCCAATCCCTATTTCTTACACGCAAACGAAAATCCAGCGCTGGTGCTCGTATCTACCCCGATGGATGGCTCGAACTACCATCCCTGGGCTCGAGCAATGACAATGGCTCTATCCTGTAAAAACAAACTTGCGTTTGTCAATGGAACCATCACCAAGCCTGCAATAGGCGATCGAAAGTATGATGTCTGGGAACGTTGCAACAACACAGTGGTATCATGGATTGTCCGATCGTTGTCCCCGACTATTGGCCGAAGTGTGCTTTGGATAGACACGGCGTATGGAATCTGGAATGACTTGAAACGACGATTCAGTCAACAAGACCTATTCCGGATTGCGGAGATTAAATGTGAAATTTATCGAACGAAACAGGAAGAAGGCTCTCTGAATGAGTATTTCACGAAACAGAAACTGTTATGGGATGAGTTAATGATCCTCAGGCCTACCATGCTGTGCGGATGCAATCCAAAATGTCAATGTGGAAAAAGAATTGACGAGATGAATGAACAGGCAGAGAAGGATAAACTCTCTGTTTTTCTGATCGGGTTGCATGATAGGTACACTGGAGCTAGAAACCAGATCATGCTCATGAAACCCTTGCCTGATGTGTGTGAAGCATATTCGATGATAGCACAACAAGAAAGGCAATTTCAGATGAACACTATTGGTTTTGGAAGCCAGCTTCATCAAGCAGGAGAAAATGGAAGCAGTAGCAGTGTGTTTTTAGCCAATGCTGACAGTGGAAATCACCAGAATTATAAGAGATTTCCTTCAGGCAACAAGAGGCCAGTATGCACATATTGTGGCTATACTGGACATACACAGGATAAATGTTACAAGAAGTATGGTTATCCCCCTGGTTGGAAGCCAAGGGCAAAGAATCAAGGATCAGTCAATTTAACTCAAACAGAAAATCAGAATCCAAATGCAGCCAGTTTGTTTACTCAAACAGACTTCAAGAATTTTTTGGAGTTCATGCAACTACAGAAGACTTCTGGGGGAAATTCAAACACCCTCACTAATCAGCCACTAGCCAACACCATATCTGCAATCTCAGTGCCAGCCACCCAATTAGAAGGTATGAATCCTTCTCTGAATTCTGTGGTTCATAACATGAATAACTGGATATTGGATAGTGGTGCTACTCACCATATTGTGTGTGATGAGAAATTGCTGAGAAATCACAAAGAAGTTCAGAATATGCATGTTGGCTTGCCTAATGGTCTGCAGGTTGCTATCACATACACTGGATCTGTGCATTTATCTGATGATGTTGTCTTACATAATGTTCTTTATGTTCCTGGATTCTGTTACAACTTAATCTCTGTTGGTGCTCTTATTCAAGGCTCAAATTGTACCATGAGATTGCACACTGGTGAATGCATTATACAGGATGCCCATGGCAAGAAGATTGGAGCAGCTGAGCTCAAAAATGGATTGTACCATTTGGTCTTTCCTACTGTTTTCCCTTCTATTTGCAATTTAGTTCCCACTGTGAACAAATGTACTCTATTGCATGCTAGACTAGGGCATGCTTCATACACCAAAATCCAATGTTTGCATAAACTTGATCCCATTATACAAATGAATAAAGATCTAGTTTGTGATTGTTGTCATCTTGCCAAGCAGAAAAGGTTTCCTTTTCAATCAAGTTTATCTAATTCAGTTGCTTGTTTTGAATTGTTGCATATGGATATTTGGGGGCCTTACAAGGTTGCAACTCCTCATGGCCATCATTACTTCTTGACCATACTAGATGACCATAGCAGATCAGTATGGGTTCACTTAATGAAGAGGAAATCTGAGGTCAGAAACTTGGTCACATCCTTCTGTAACTTAGTCAAGAACCAGTTTGACACAAAAGTGAAATGTATAAGGACAGACAATGGGCTAGAGTTTGATATGATTGATTTCTTTAATAAAGAAGGGATAGTGCATCAAACCTCTTGTACTTACACTCCCCAGCAAAATAGCAGGGTGGAAAGAAAGCATGGCCACCTTCTATGCACCCTCAGATTCCAAGCTGGTCTACCAGAACAGTTCTGGGGAGAGTGCATATTACATGCAGCCTACATCATCAATAGGCTACCCTCGGCTGCCATCAATAATCAAGTTCCTTATCAGCTTCTCCTCCACAAAAATCCTCAATATCAGCATCTAAGGGTCTTTGGATGTCTAGCATATGCCACTACAGTGGGTCCTAAATCAAAATTTGACCCCAGAGCCAAGAAATGTGTCTTTCTTGGATATGCTAATGGAGTCAAAGGGTATAAGCTCTATGATCTACAAGACAGAAGTTTTTTTATCTCCAGGGATGTAGTGTTTTATGAACATGTGTTTCCCTTACAACACTTGGATAAACCTGAACAGGAGTTCAATCAAGTTATATTACCTGTTCTGGATGGTGCCCCAGAAGAAGATGCAGTGGTTGACACCATGGTGGTTCCACAACCCCCTATCCCAGACAATTCAGTTCTTGAAGGTCCTGAGCTGACAACTGAATCAAATGAGGGTGATTACCCTCCTGATGACATTACCATTGAGGAGACAACTGAGGCATATAGCCCTCCATCTGAACAGCCAGTTGTTAGGAAGTCCATCAGACACAAGCAGGCCCCCACCTATCTAAGGGACTATGTGTGCCACAGTTCTATAGTCAGGACCTCTCCACACAGTCTGCACAAGGTTATAAGCTATGATATGCTTTCACCTTCATTTCAATCTTTTGTAATGAATATCACTTGCACTACTGAGCCAAGGAGTTACAATGAGGCAGTGAAACATGAATGTTGGAGGAAAGCCATGCATGATGAGATCTCTGCTCTTGAAAATAACAACACATGGACAATTGTTGATCTGCCCCCCTCAAAGAAATCTATAGGCTGCAAATGGGTGTATAAGGTCAAGCATAAACCAGATGGTAGCATTGACAGATATAAAGCTAGACTAGTGGCTAAGGGCTACACACAAACACTTGGGGTGGATTACCTTGATACCTTTAGTCCAGTGGCCAAGGTTACTACAATCAGAACCTTTCTTGCCATTGCAGCAGCTAAGGATTGGCACCTGCACCAAATGGATGTCAACAATGCATTCCTCCATGGAGAATTAGATGAGGAGGTTTATATGCAGGTTCCACTTGGTTTTGAGAAAAGGGATAAGGGCAAGGTGTGCAGACTAAACAAGTCTTTATATGGACTCAAACAGGCCAGCAGACAATGGAACACTAAGTTGAATTCAGCTCTGCAATCCATGGGGTTTAAGCAGTCCTTACCTGACAATTCTTTATTTGTTAAGGGAGAAGGAAGGTCTTTTGTGGCACTATTAGTATATGTAGATGATATAATAGTGGGCAGTGCAGATCTGAATCTGATACAACAGATCAAAATGCAATTGAATGACACTTTTCAAATAAAAGACCTTAGACCCTTAAAATACTTCCTAGGTTTGGAAGTAGCTAGGCAGAGAAAAGGGATTGCTATATCCCAAAGGAAATATGCCCTTGAGTTATTAACTGATACAGGTTTTGAGAATGCCAAACCAGTTCAGAGTCCTACTTCTCCATCACACAAGCTCAGCAAGGGTGAAGGTACTTTGCTGGATGATAACACTCATTACAGAAGAATAGTTGGGAAACTCCTATACTTAACTATCACCAGACCCGACATAAGCTTTGCTACACAACAACTCTCTCAGTTCTTGGATACTCCCACTGACTTACATCTACAAGCAGCCTACAGAGTCCTAAGATATATCAAAGGGGCACCTGGCCAAGGACTTTTTTTCCCAACCTCATCCAGTTTGCAGTTATCAGCCTTTTCAGACTCAGACTGGGGAGCTTGTGTGGATACTAGGAGATCCATCACTGGCTTCTGTGTATTTCTAGGAGGTGCTTTGGTGTCCTGGAAATCTAAGAAGCAAGTTACAGTTTCAAAATCATCATCAGAGGCTGAATATAGAGCCCTAGCAGCCACCACTTGTGAAATACAATGGTTGCTTTATCTGCTGAACGAATTTGGATTGCATGTTGATATTCCTACAGCTCTTTATTGTGACAGTAAGTCAGCAATAGCAATTGCTGAGAACCCCGTGTTTCATGAACGCACCAAGCATATTGAATTGGACTGCCACTTGGTTAGAGAAAAACTACAAAAAGGCACCATCAAACTTCTTCATGTGACTTCTGCAAATCAGCTGGCTGATGTATTCACTAAAGCTCACTGCCCGAGCTCCTTCAATGCCTACGTGTCCAAGCTTGGATTGTTCAATCTATACAATCCAGCTTGCGGGGGGCTATCAGGAGTCTCCGATGGATGACAAGTGGAGTCCATCCGTTCACTCCAAAATATGTTAGAAGCAGTTATAAGCAGTCTGTTAGAAGCAGTTCCTTTTCCCTCTTTTTTCTTAGCTTTGTATGACTGTGCATATAAAAACTCTTGTACTAAGTCTTCTTGCCAAGTAATGAGAATAATCCTTTTGTCTCCATTTCAGTCGATACTCCCTTCTTCTCTGAATCATCACAGAGAGTGCATGTAATATTTTCAATCTTCCTATATCAAATTTACTAAAAGTTGATAAAGTAACCATTTTCCAGACATCCCAAAAACACATTGAATTCAACAAAGACATTTAAATTTATTTCAGTTTTTGAAGCAATTGTGATTTGTGATCATATTTTGATTGCAGGGATGAGCCTACACTAATCCAGTCTCTGGTGAAGAAGGTTTTGAGTAAGCTAAACAATACACCTTTAGGCGTAGCAAAATATCAAGTTGGACTGCATTCTCGTGTGGATGAGCTGTTGAGGAAGTTGGATGTTAAAGGCAATGGTGTTCGAATGCTAGGGTTATATGGAATGGGAGGGATCGGGAAGACCACTCTCGCCAAAGCTTTGTTTAATAAGCTCGTCTTCCATTTCAAGAAGCGCAGCTTTGTTTCAAATGTTAGAGAAATTTCTCGCCAGTCTGATGGTTTGGCAACTCTTCAAAGCAAATTGATCGGAGATCTTAAAAGCAAAGTGATCGGAGATCTTAATCCGGACTCTTTGCCGACCATACCTGACATTGCTGTAGGTATTCGTAAGATCAAGCAGTGTATTGAGAGTGCGCCAGTTGTTGTGTTCTTAGATGATGTGGATAACCTAAAGCAACTTCAAGTGCTTGCTGGTGGGAAAGACTGGTTTTATGAAGGGAGCAGAATCATCATCACCACTAGAGATATGCAGGTTTTGGTTGGAAATGTTGATGAAATTGTTGAGGTTAAGGAGCTTTCATTCCAGGAATCACTACAACTCTTTAGTTACCATGCTTTTGGAAGAGAGGAGCCTAGTAAAAGTTTTAAGGATATTTCTGAGAAAATTGTTTCACTCACCACGGGTCTTCCTCTTGGTCTGGAAGTGTTTGGCTCTTTTCTGTTCTACAAGAAAAGGTTAAGGGATTGGGAAGATGCATTGCAAAAGCTAGAGCAAATTCGGCCCGGGGAGGTTCAAGATGTGCTGGAAATAAGTTTCAATGCCCTGGATGAACAGGAAAAGCGAATATTTCTTGACTTGTCTTGTCTCTTTGTTGACAAGAAGTTTATGAGGGAAGATGCAATTGACATATTTAATGGTTGTGGCTTCAGTGCTGAAACAGCCATAACAGATCTCACGGCTAAATCTCTTGTTAAGATCATTGATGGAAATGTTTTATGGATGCATGATCAACTCAGAGATATGGGGAGACAAATTGTTCACCACGAAAACTACAGAGATCCAAGTGAGCACAGTAGGCTCTGGGATTATCATGAAATCATGAATATATTGAAGAATCTAAAGGTACAAATGGATGAGTCTACTTGTTGACAGGCTCAAGAGTGTTGCATTAAATTCAAAGTTATTACTCTGTATAGTATTTGCAGGTTATTTACTTCCAAATCAAATATTTTATTCATGCATTTTGTCATATGGAGTATTTAATAACCTCTTTTCAATTGTGCTGAGACTCAATTTTAGGCTTTCATATTTACTTTCATTATTTGCTTACTTTTCTTCACCAAATCTAGGGCACAAAAATGATTGAGGGCATCACCATTGACTTTGAAAAGAAGGATGATCTAGCTTCTCAGAAAGTACAACAGATCAACTTGCAGAAAAGATATAGATCGCCATCTGCAATTGCACACTTGAAGCAATCATATAACAAGCATTTTGGCCATGCTGCTGGGGAAGAAGATGGAATACTCAACACCAGAGCTTTTAAAGCTATGGCCAATCTAAGACTTCTTCGGATCAATTATGCTGAATTGCTTGGTAATTTCAAGTTTTTTCCTGCTGAAATGAAGTGGCTGCAGTGGAAAGGTTGCCCTTTACAATGTATTCCTTCTGAGTTTTGGCCTCGTGATATTGCTGTTCTTGATCTGTCTGATAGTAATATTACACATGTATGGAACAAGAAGCGATTGGATAGCTTCCGGTATAAGGTAAGTATGAATATTGATCAAGCATTATATTTCTCAGTTTTACAGGAAATCTCCTATTTGATTTTGGACCATCTGTAAAAGACCTTTGCATATTAAGTTTTCCTAAGTGGCCAGTGTCCTTAATTACCGCACAAAAAGACTTTGGTGTAGAATTGGGACTCATAGTTTGATTAGTGCACTACTGCACTCAGTAGTGTTGCAATTTAATCTACCCTTTAGAAATCAAAGTCTTACTTACTTGTCTCTTCTCATATCAGTAATAGAGTTTGATCAACTTTCAGTATTGAACCGTGGCTAATTGTAGTTTTCTATAAGCATCAGTTTTGGTTTATTCTTATGTGTTTCTGCTCATATGGCATTGACTCTATAACTTGGTTTAAGTTGTGCTCTGGCAACCAAATAGATTACTAATTCTTAAGCACTGTCAGTGCTGATTCATATGTTTTCTCACCACTTTTACCATCTAATGCCTTCTATTGATGAAAATTTGTGAAATCCTTATTTGAAGTACTATATCTACCAATTCGATTATTAACTCATTAGTGAAATTTTTATGTAGATGGGCGAGAAGCTACATGTTTTGAACCTCAGTAATTGTTACTTTCTTGAGGAACTCCCTGACTTAACTGGCATTCCCTTGGAGAAACTGAATCTTGAAAATTGCAAAAAACTGGTTAAGATTCATCCCTCAATTGGAAACTTGAGCACATTGATCTATCTGAACCTTAAAGGTTGTGAGAATCTTATGTTGTTTCCAAATGATGTCTCTGGTTTGAAACATCTTGAAAAACTTATCCTCTCTGATTGTTCCAGTCTAAGTGAATTACCGGAGGACTTGAGTGGGCTGAAATCCTTGAAAGAGTTGCTTGTAAATAGGACATTGATAGGAACACTTCCCAAGTCTGTTTATCGCTTAAAAATCTTGGAAATTTTCAACTTAGATAACTGCAGCCGATTGAGAGTGCTGCCTGAATCCATAGGGAGCTTGAACTCTCTTAGACAGCTTTCCTTAAACAGATCAGCTTTACGAGAAATGCCTGAATCTGTCGGAATGCTGACAAACCTAGAGACACTGAGTTTGAGATATTGCGGATCATTGTCTTCCATTCCCAACACTGTTGGCGATCTGAAATCTTTACTTGAACTGTACCTTGATGGAACCTCAATCAATGGATTGCCAGAATCTGTAGGCTCCTTAAATCATTTGAAGCACCTTAGGGTCAGCTGTTGTAAGAATCTGACCGAATTGCCAAATTCTATAGGCAGATTGTCATCTCTAATTTGGCTCTGTATGGATGAAACTTCAATCTGTGAAGTACCTGATGAATTGGGATCGTTGAAGAACCTTGAAAAGCTAGAGATGAGAAATTGTACTTCTATCAAATCATTACCAGACTCAATAGGGAATCTTTTGAGTCTAACCAGTTTGGCCCTGGATTCCACCTCCATAGAAGAGTTGCCAGAATCTATAGGCTTTTTGGAAAGGCTTTGGGCACTAAAGCTGAATAACTGTTCAAATCTCCAGAGGTTGCCATCTTCAATTGGGAATCTGAAAAATTTGTGTTACTTCTATATGGTAAACACTGCAGTCACTGAATTGCCCGATGAAATTGGGATGCTTTCAAGCTTAAAAGTTTTGAAAATGCAGAAGAATAATCAGCCCTCTCAAGCCAATGACACAAGAGAGATCACTCTTCCAGAATCATTTTCAAATCTCTCATCATTGGAACATCTGGATGCTAGTGCCTGGAAAATTTCTGGTAAAATTTCTGATCACTTTGAGAAAATGTCCTCATTGAATACTCTTAAACTTGGTCGCAACAATTTTTGGAGCCTCCCTTCTAGCACGAAGGGGCTCACTGTTCTCAAGAAATTGCTTTTACCTGATTGCAAAGAGCTCAAGTCTCTCCCTCCACTTCCTTCAAGTTTGACAGACTTGAATGTTGCAAACTGTTCTTCATTGGAACACATATCTGATCTATCAAATCTGGGGAGTTTGCGGGAACTTCGATTTTCTAATTGCAAAAAAATAACAGACATTCCTGGTCTAGAAAGCTTGAAATCATTGAGATGGTTGTACACAGTTGGCTGCAATGCATGCTTACCATCCCTGAAACGAAGAATTTCTAAGGTATGCTACCCCTCTCTCCCTCTCTGCAATGCAATTCTTTGGGACAGTACTTGAGCCCTGTCCTTTGTTTTTTAGACTATAATTTTCATACTGCAATCACCCCATCTATCAGAACATGATTGTTTTATAATCTCTAAAAAAAAATGGTCTACCTACGTGTGCTATGATTGTCATCTATTGCAGCCTTACTAATAGTCTTGTGTTTGTTTGGATGCAGGACACACTAAGACATATGCGCTATTTATGCGTTCCGGGGAGTGAGATTCCAGAATGGCTTGTTCAAGAACTGCCAAGTTTTTCCCCACGAAAAAACCGTGACCTCAAGGGGGTGCTCATTGGTGTTGTTGTCTCCCTCAACCAAGAAGTAGAGGATAGCTTCAGAGATAAAGTCCCCGCGATTATGGACATCCAAGCAAAGATAATCAGACAGGGCCAGGCCATCCTCACTACCACTCTGAACTTATCGGGGGTTCCCGACACCAATGATGACCAGCTCTACTTGTGTAGATTTCATGAAACTAACAACCTTGTGTTCATGTTGCAAGAGGGGGACAAGTTGCAGGTGGCAATGCGAGAGCCGTCATGTTTCAGAGGGCTGGAACTGAAGAAGTATGGGATGTGCTTGGTTTATGAGTACGAGGATGATCTTGATGAGAGGGATGAAGTATTGTTTGATGAATCTCACCAATCTGTGTCAAAGAAACTGGCAAACTTCTTAAATGCTCTGTGACAGTTTTGCTGCTGGCTTGCTTTAGGATACTTCATTTTGACAAATGGTAAATCATTGTTGTAACTTGTAAGTCATGTATATATCAAACTTCAAATTATACTCATCTTGAATCTTGATGATATGAAATTACCATTATTTAGAAACTACCACCCATGACCCCATGTGATGCACGACTATATTGTTATTATGCAATTATAACATATTATAGGTTGAACATATAGTAAATAAAAAAAAAAATTTGTTCGCATTTCGTAGATAATAAAACTATAAATTATTAAAAATTTCTTTGTAAACTACATTTTGAGTAGTGTTTAAAAAATCTCTAGGTTCACCATAAATTAAAACCTACAAACTATCGGGTTACTAACCCTCGATACTGCCACATACAACTGGCCATGGTTAAAAACTGGCTTTTTTAGTAGCAAATCAACATGTGATAACGTTTGTCCTTGACTTTTGTTGATTGTCATGATGTAGCATAACCGGAAATTGTTTCTTTTGAAATTTAAAACTAAGTCTTTAGGTCTGAACCGGAAATTGCTTCCTTTGAAATTTAAAAGGAAGCCTTGGGTATGAAGGAGTCAACGCCAATCGTGTTACCAACACATTAGTTCCTGCATTGTTTCCACATAGAATCTGCGCCTCAATTACATGGTTTCCTAATTTTGTAACGTTCAACCATGTACCATTACAAAGACCCAATGAGTGGTCTATATTACATTAGTTCCTGCTTGTTTGCACATAGAATCTTCGCCTCAATTACATGTTTCCTAATTTGTAACGATCAACCGTGTACCATTACATAGGCCCAATGAGTGGTCTATATATTCCTCAACAACATAACTAGAGATTCAACCTTTAATGTTAAACAATGGTTAGGAACACCTAAACATCTCAAACTGTTAAGGAATTTTGTGGTGTGAACTTCAGATTACATATCAACATTTGTATCTGACTTGCACACAGAATCACAAGTCAAATACTTCTTAGAAGATGCTTCATCCATACCGTTCAATCGCTCATGTATTCATTGACATGGTCGACAACATCTAACGTTGGAGCCAAAATAGCTCTAGTCTCAAAATATTTAGGATCCATGTTAGCACTACGGTATGAAGGAAATGTGCTATCAACAATTTCTTTGATGGGATCACCTTCGTTTTGTAATACAAACTGAGACGGTATAATTATATTGCACTCACCGTCATTGTCTTGACCAAGTTTTTCATCACCTAAATCTGCAATCCAATTTGCAAAAGTCTCCAACTTCTCAACCTCTTCTTCGGTAGAAATAGTACGCAAACGTAAATTCTTCGTTAAACGAAGAACTTCACAATTGTTTCACAAGTAAGAAGAATTGATACTGGCTTGTACTATATCTTGTCTAGTGCCTTTCGGAATAATTGGAAGTATTTGACTAAAGTCTCAACCGAGGACAACTGTTTTTCCACCAAATGTCATTTCTGAGCTTCTAGAATTTGAGAAATGCATTAAGTCTCTCATTGTCCTATCCAATTCATCAAAACAATGTTTGTGCGTCATAGGAGCGTCGTCCCAAATTATCAATTTTGATTTGATGATCAGTTCAGCTAGTGGACTACCATGCTTAATGTTGCATGTGGAATCTTTGTTAACTTCAATCGGTATAGCAAATCTTGAGTGTGCAGTCCTTCTACTCATGCGTTGCACGGATAATACTTATACACTATTAAGTAAAATTATTTTAATATTAACATAGAGAATAATATATTTATGAGAAAGTTTTGCTTAAAGATAAAAAATGCATAAGTTTTGTTAAAGATAATATTACTATAGTATTAATATTATTACTAATTTTGTTTTTGGAAATTAATATTATTAATATTCTTAGTAGTCCACTAATCCATTACTTATATATTATTAATATTAATACTAATATATTAATATATATTTTTTTGGGTGGGGATTATATATATTAATATATTATTAATGGCCATTCAAATAGACAAAAATATTATTATTCAACAATGATGACCATTTGTCCAGATGAAGTATCCTATAGCAAGCCAGCACCAAACTGATCACAGAGCATTGAAGAAGTTTGCCAGTTTCTTTGACAAAGATTGGTGAGATTCATCAAACAATTCTTCATCCCTCTCATCAAGATCATCCTCGTACTCGTAAACCAAGCACATCCCATGCTTCTTCAGTTGCACCCCACTGAAACGCGGCGCCTCTCGCATTGCCACCTGCAACTTGTCCCCCTCTTGTAACATCAACACAAGGTTGTTAGTTTCATGAAATCTACACAAGTAGAGCTGGTCGTCATTGGTGTTGGGAACCCCCATTAAGTAGAGTGTGGTAGTGAGGATGGCATTGCCCTGTCTGATTATCTTCGCTTGGATGTCCACAATCGCGGGGACTTTATCTCTGAAGCTATCCTGTACTTCTTGGTCGAGGGAGACAACAACGGCAATGATCACACCCTTGAGGTCACAGTTTTTCCGAGGGGAAAAACTTGGCAGTTCTGGAACAAGCCATTCTGGAATCTCACTCCCCGGAACACATAAATAGCGCATATGTCTTAGTGTGTCCTGCCATCCAACACAAGCCTATTAGTAAGATATGATAACAAAGGAAAAGGAAAAGGCTTAAGTATAAGCATGGGATTGCAGAGAGGGAGAGGGAGAGGGAAGTAGCACCTTCGAAATCCTTCGCTTCAGGGATGGCAAGCATGCATTACAGCCACCAGTGTACAACCGTCTCAATGATTTCAAGCTTTCTAGACCAGGAATATCTGTTATCTTTTTGCAATTAGAAAATCGAAGTTCTTGCAAACTCCCCAGATTTGATAGATCAGATATGTGTTCCAGTGAAGAACAGTTTGCAACATTCAATTCTGCCAAACTTGAAGGGAGTGGAGGGAGAGACTTGAGCTCTTTGCAATCAGGTAAAAACAATTTCTTGAGAACAGTGAGCCCCTTCATGCTAGAAGGGAGGCTCCAAAAATTGTTGCGGCCAAGATTAAGAGTATCCAATGAGGACATTTTCTCAAAGTGATCAGAAATTTTACCAGAAATTTTCCATGCACTAGCATCCAGATATTCCAATGATGAGAGATTTGAAAATGATTCTGGAAGAGTGATCTCTCTTGTGTCATTGGCCTGAGAGGGCTGATTATTCTTCTGCATTTTCAAAACTTTTAAGCTTGAAAGCATCCCAATTTCATCGGGCAATTCAGTGACTGCAGTGTTTACCATATAGAAGTAACACAAATTTTTCAGATTCCCAATTGAAGATGGCAACCTCTGGAGATTTGAACAGTTATTCAGTTTTAGTGTCTCAAGCCTTTCCAAAAAGCCTATTGTCTCTGGCAACTCCTCTATGGAGGTGTAATTCAGGGCCAAACTGGTTAGACTCAAAAGATTCCCTATTGAGTCTGGTAATGATTTGATAGAATTGCAATTCATCATCTCAAGCCTTTCAAGGTTCTTCAAATATCCCACTTGATCAGGTACTTCACATATTGAAGTTTCATCCATACAGAGCCAAATTAGCGACGACAATCTGCCTATAGAATTTGGCAATTCGGTCAGATTCTTACAATAGCTGACCGTAAGGTGCTTCAAATGATTTAAGGAGCCTACAAATTCTGGCAATCCATTGATTGAGGTTCCATCAAGGTACAGTTCAAGTAAAGATTTCAGATCGCCAATGGAATTGGGAATGGAAGACAATGATCTGCAATATCTCAAATTTAGTGTCTCTAGGTTTATCAACATTCCGACAGATTCAGGCATTTCCTCTAAAGCCGATCCATTTAAAGAAAGCTGCCTAAGAGAATTCAGATTCCCTATGGATTCAGGCAGCACTCTCAATCGTCTGCAGTCATCTAAGTTGAAAATTTCCAAGCTTTTTAAGCGAAAAATAGACTTGGGAAGTGTAACTATCAATGTCCCATTTACAAGTAACTCTTTCAAGGATTTCAGCCCACTCAAGTCCTCCGGTAATTCACTTAGACTGAAACAATCAGAGAGGATAAGTTTTTCAAGATGTTTCAAGCCAGAGACATCATTTGGAAACAACATAAGATTCTTACAACCTTTAAGGTTCAGATAGAGCAATGTTCTCAAGTTTCCAATTGAGGGATGAATCTTAACCAGTTTTTTGCAATTTTCAAGATTCAGTTTCTCCAAGGGAATGCCAGTTAAGTCAGGGAGTTCCTCAAGAAGGTAACAATTACTGAGGTTCAAAACATGTAGCTTCTTTGCCATCTACATAAAATTTCACTAATGAGTTAACAATCAAATAACTGAGGTTCAAATAAGGACTTCACAAATTTCCATCAATAGAAGGCATTAAATGCTAAAAGTGGTGAGAGAACATATGAATCAGCACTGACAGTGCTTAAGAATTAGTAATCGATTTGGTTGCCAGAGCACAACTTAAACCAAGTTATAGAGTTAATGCCATATGAACAGAAACACATAAAAATAAACCAAAACTCATTCTTATAGAAAACTACAATTAGCCACGGTTCAATACTGAAAGTTTATCAACTCTATTACTGATATGAGAAGAGAAAAGTTAGAAGACTTTTTGATTTCTTAAGGGTAGATTAAATTGCGACGCTACTGAGTGCACCAAGAAAACTGTGAGTCTCAATTTTACACCAAAGTCTTTTTTTTTTTCTTTTTTTTTTTGCGGTAATTAAGGACACTGGCCACTTAGGAAAACTTAATATGCAAAGGTCGTTTACAGATGGTCCAAAATCAAATTGGAGATTTCCTGTAAAACTGAGAAAAGATTGATCAATCTTGATACTCACCTTATACCGGAAGATATCCAATCCCTTATTGTTCCATACCTGCGTAATCTTGCTATCAGACAGATCAAGAACAGCAATATCACGAGGCCAAAACTCAGAAGGAATACATTGTAAAGGGCAACCTTTCCACTGCAGCCACTTCATTTCAGCAGGAAAAAACTTGAAATTACCAAACAATTCAACATAATTGATCCGAAGAAGTCTTAGATTGGCCATGGCTTTAAAAGCTCTGGTGTTGAGCATTCCATCTTCTTCCCCTGCAGCATGCCCAAAACACCTGTTATATGCTTGCTTCAAGTATGCAATTGCAGATGCCCATCTACATCTTTTCT